GAAGGAAGGGAAAAAAGAAAACAAAAACAAAAACCCAGCAGGCTGAGACTTAACCACTCTAGAAATGGAAAATAGGTTCCAGGGTTTATAGCAATATGCTGAGATCACAAGAGGTGGGACACCTGCCACTCTCAGAGCTCTGGGATAAGGAAGGAAATAGCACTGGAATGGCTCCCTCCCTAGTCAAGCCCTTCCCATCTTGCTCTGCTGTAGGGCTATCCTGATCCTCAAGCCAGATGAAGCACTTCACTGGAGGTGACCTCTTGAGCAGCGCCCCCGAGGCTTCAGTCTAAATCTAGCAGGTATAGAGAGGATATATTTAGAACAGCACGCATTTTCCACTGGACCTTTCCCCAGAAGCAATGAAAATATAGTACAAGTCAAATATAGATTGTGAACGCAATACACTTCTTCAGGGCTACTGTCTGTCTCCGCTGTAGTCCCGGATAACTCCCCACAGGAGGAAGATGTCCTAGCTGCCATGGGCATTAATGACTGGTTCGTCAAAGCTAAATTGATATTCATGAGTGTTCACCCCTCCCACTGTTAGTTTCAGTGCATCTCCAAATCCCCAAGAATGAGCTACGCAGATAGACGGCTCCATACCCTACTGCAGTAAACACTAGCCAAGAGGCAGTGTGCTCTGCCCTTAGCTTTAAGGCTTCGACGTGGTGCCAGCATCTGTGACGAAACCTTTGAACTCATCTGCCCTGCAAAACGTTTTTAATGTCATATTTTAGATTTATAGGACCATTTAATGAGTTCATTTTATCTGCTGTGTTTTCATCATCTACAGTGAGATTTCAATGCTAGTTGAATGAAAGAAGGAAAGACTCCTGATTTTTTCCCCTAAAGCATCCATTCCCTGGCAAAGAGTCTTTTTCTCATAAAACTCACTTTCTAGTTGTGTTGGAAGAGAAGACAATAATAATCAAATTGGTTTATATATAAAATGTCAGATGCCATAGATGAAAACAGGAAAGAGAGAAGAAAAGTGCCCTTACTTAGACAGCTCTACATTGAACTGTATGAACAGGACATATGTATAAGGTGGGAGTCTACTTGCTCCTACCCAAGCCCACCTTGGCACATATATGTCCTATTCATGCAGAACTGTCTAAATCAGCTGTGTATCTTTTCTCTTTCCTCATTTATCTGCCTTATGAAAATTTCCCATAGTACTGTGTGCTTTAATACCTAGTCCCTATCTGGTGGCACTATTATTATAGGGGCTTATGGAATCTTTAAACATGGGTCCCAAAATCAATCACACAGTATTTCCCAGTAGAGCATCTCCAAAGTGATCCAGCCAAGCCTAGAAGTGCCTGATCAATCAGAGCTGTGCACTGTAAAGGATTCAAGCCTTGGCAAAGGCATCAGATGCCTATAGGATGAACAAGAGGCCACTTGTTCATCCCGGCTGCCCAGAACCAACTAACCACACCGAAACTATCTTAATTAAAACACTGCTTGGCCCATTAGCTCTAGCTTCTTATTGGCTAACTCTTACATATTAATTTAGCCCATTTCCATTAATCTGTATATCACCACATGACTGTGGCTTACCAGGCAAAGTTCCCAGTGGCTGTCTCCAGTGGCAGCTCCATGGCTTCTCCCTGATTCCGCCCTTCTCCCACCATTCAGCCTAGCTTTCCCTGCCTACCTAAGTTCTGCCTTGCTATAGGTCCAAAGCAGTTTCTTTATTCATTAATGGTAATCACAGCACAACTCCCACATCAGATGCCAACACTCATTCTTCCTCAGGAGAGTTCTTCATTGACTTATTCCTGGAGCTGATTTGGCCCTGGTGGCTGAGATATAAAACAAGCTGCTGCTACCCTGCCCTTGTCCTTGTTAGTTGTTTTGGTTTTGGTTTTGTTGTTTTCTACTTGACACAAGGTAGAGGCTTCTGGGAACAAGGAACGTCCATTGAGAAAAATACTTCCACTAGACTGGCCTGCAGGAAAGCCTGTAGGGTGTTTTCATTGTTATTATTATTGTTCTTGTTAGTGATGGATATGGAAGGGGCCAGTCCTGGGTTATATAAGAAAGTAGGCTGAGCAAAACACAAAGAACGAGTCAATAAGCAGTGTTCCTCCATGGATTCTGTGTCAGTTCCTGCCTCCAGGTTCCTGTGCTGAGTTCCTGCCTTGACTTCCTTCAGTGATGAACTGTAGTGTGGAAGTATAAGATGAATTAAACCCTTTTCTTCCCCAAGTTGCTCCTGGTCATGGTGTTTTATCTTAACAAGCATCCTCCCACTATGTAAGAATGCACAGAAAAGACCCCATATGAGGAATGGGCATTTACCAGCTACTGACCCTGCTGGAGCCTTATGTTGTTCCCAACTGTCAGAACAATAACAAATGAAACATTGATGTTTATAAATTACTCAGTGTGACATATTTTAGTGTAGCAGCAGGAATGGACTAAGACCAATGCAACAGAAAATATAACATCTAATATAATGAACAGTAGTTTAAAAATATTAATTTTTAATTTACATATGTGTACATATGTTCATTGTTTGTGTATGTTCATGTGTGTGCAGGTACTAATGGAAGACAGAAGGTGACGTTGGATCCCCTGGAGCTGGAATACAGGCAGTTGTGAGCTGCTTGATGTTGAGTGCTGATCCTCTGGAAGAGAGGTCTCTACTCTTAACTACTCCCACCAACAATTTCTTGATATCCCCAATAATTTTGGCAGCACTCTGATTTCCAACCATTTTGGAAGATTTGTAATATTTTAGTTTGATTGTAGGAAACCTGAATATAATGCACACACCTCGTGAACTTCTGCCATCTCTTGCTTGGATTATAAAACCTGCCACTCACTGGTCTGTCCGCGTCTCCCACTTTCCCTTTCTCGGTTTGTTTTTCACAAAGTTCTGGAAGAATACTTTTCATGTACAAGTCAAGACATGTCATGTTGTGCTCACGACCTTTCCGTGTCTCTCAGAGGAAAAGCTAAAGTCTTTATAAGATCTCTGTGATCTTACAGGATCTGGCCACCACCTTGTGGCTCTTTCTCTTCCTTCACACCAATTTACTGCTGGAGTCTGTGTTGTTTCTTGGGGATGCCAAGCACATAGTCATGTCCAGACATTTTTCCTAAGGTTCGCTGGCACTCCCTCTTGCCGTCTAACCCCAGGGCTTCCTACCTCCCCTGCAGGATTCTGCCAAATATCTTTTGGTTAGCATAATTTCTCTTCCGTGGGCTCCACCATACACATTTATTCTGTCTTCAGAGCATTTACCACTTTCTGGCACACTTCATATGGGCCCATTTTCTGTGTGTGAGTTCAGGACACTATTTTGCTCACTACGGTATCATTACTGCCAAAAACACCCCCTAGCATAAAGTAAGCGTTCTATAAATACTTGCCAAATGAATGGGTGGGTGAATGTCAGAATCCATGAATAAGAATTGTAGGAAAGATAGATCCTTGAATGTTGCCAAATAGTATTTTGAGAGCCTTAAAGAAGAAAAGGAAGACAGAACACAGTGAGAAAAGTCTCTATGTAACATGTTTATAGAGAGTTACTCCCCTAATAGTTCATAGTCAGAGATGGATACCAAGGATGGACACATAGTACTCAAAACAGAAGTGCCCCCATTGTCATTTTCCTCAATTCTGAACTCCGAATTTCGTGAGATGATTTAAAAGGTGGTCTACAAAGAAATAGAGACCTCATCTGTCCCACCTGAACTTCCCTAAGTTACCTAGTGGTGATGGGCAGACAGAAGGAACTTTTATAAGAAGCTGGAGAGCTATCTCAGTTGATACAGTCTTTGCTGCACATGCATGAAGACATGGATGGAGGGCCCCAGCAACACCCACATGGAAAGACATGATAGACAGCTGTAATACTGATGCTGGGCATGCAGACAGGAATCCTTAGGACTTGATGGCCAATACAGTCAATACAGCTCCAGGTTCCGGGGCGGGGGGTACTTATGGCAAAAATTAGGGTGGAGTATTGTTTTTTACTCTTTGGCTCTTTGTTCTTTGAGGGGCCCACCACCCATTTCCCAAAGAAATCACACAGAAGCTTATTCTTTATCAATGCCCAGTCTTAGCTTGGATTGTTTCTTGCCAGCTTTTCTTAAATTATCCTGAATCTCTTTTGCCTCTGGGGTTTTACCTTTCTCTGTTTCTGTATTTCTTTCCTTCTTATTCTGAGTCTGACTGGGTGGCTGGCCCCTTCTTTCTTCACTTCTTGTCTTTTCCTTTTCTCATTCTTTCAATTCTTTTCTCTCTTTTTCTCCCTCTATTTATTCTCTCTGCCTGCCTATCCTTTCTCCTACCATGTTATTAGCCTATCAGCTGTTTATTAGACCCAATCAGGTGTTTTAGACAGGCAAAGCGACACACTTCACAGAGTTAAACAAATGCAACATGAATGCCAACACATTTTTGCATCATTAAACAAACTTCCACAGCCTAAACAAATGTAGCACATCTTAAAATAATATTCTACTGCAGTGGAGAGTGATTAAGGAAAATTTTCAGTATCATCCTCAAGCCTCCTTGTGCACACGCATCCTCAGCAAGCAAACGTGTGCACGCGCACACACACAAAGTTGGAGACCGTAAAACTTGAGTCAGAAGTAAAGTCGGACCTGGTGAGATTATTTGTTAGCCTCGAAGGAAAGGACAATCAGAAAAGCCTCTTCTCCTTCAATGGACTCCTCTTGAAAAACTCTCCCCACAAGAACCCCTTCCTTATCCGTGATTCCTTTCAGTATATTAATTCAAGGTAAATGAATAAAGAGAAAAGAAACACTTTTATTTTCCACAGCTTCTGAAAGTATCTTTATTTGTGCCAAATTAGGTGATGAAATACACCTTCACTCTCACAAGCTGGACTTTCCATATCCAAGAGAGTTGTGGGAACAAATGCCAACTTTACTGTCCCCAGCGGGGGAGACAGGAGGTTGGCAGTGAGAGGAGACATTCACTCCGAGGAAGGTCATTCATCTTTACCCAGGCATCTTCTCGATGGACAAACACACACCCTACAGGAGGTGTGGGGCTTACAGAGACACTGTGATATAAGGAGACCCACATGAAGGATAATGCCCACATTATGAGGTCAGAGCCCCTCACTAAGGCTACCTCTGTCTCTGTGAAATGCGGCAGGCCTCAGCTTTCCTTCTGCTGATATCCTAGGGACAACTCTTCCTCCTTATTCCCTTGGGCTGGGAAGTTAAAGCCAAAGGAATGAGGCACTCTAAGAACTAGAAGCTTCCCCACGTTGGTGAAATCGCAGCCTTCTTTCCATACAGAAGGACGAGATTCCGGATGTCTGTATGGATGCCAGAGACGACAATGAGTTCAACCTCACACTGCAGATTAACAACTTCAAAGCGGCCTTGGTTGAGTTCGATAAACTGGTTGAACAGACAACAGCCCAAAAAAAGGACGAAAGAGCAGGCTTGTTTATCCCAAAGGAAGGTAAGATGGATGACTGCAGAGAGGTCCAGCTGGAGCTGCTGATTAGAACTGGGAGGTGCTTTAGGTCATCAGAGAAAGACAGTCTAGTTTAAAAGCTAAGACACTGAATGGGGGCAGAGGGCCTGAGTTCTTTCTCTGTCATACCTAGCTGGACATGAGGAAGCCTTTTCTGCCAATCTGTAATATAGAGAAGTGAATAAAATGACGTCATTGGGTTCTTCTGCAGACACTACAATCAGTCACTGGCTGACCTGAAACTCTGTATAGCACAGTGACCACATAAGATGCCCTCTGTGTCTGTCTTACCCAGCTTCCTAGCACTGTAATAAAATGCCCCAAATTATCAACTCAAGAAGAAAAAGGTATTTTGGAGGTTCCCATACATGGTTGCGTGGCTGCTGTTGTGGGGCCTATGGTAAGAGTTCATCATGATGGGCCCACGTGATGCAAGCTGTTCACCTTCCAGCAGCTGGAAAAGACAGGAAGAGGGCATGGTCCAAATAGCTCCTTCAAATGCACATGCCCAATAACCTTAGCCCCCTCCCACTGGCCCTGCCTTCCAAAGGTTCCTTCACTAGCCAACACTGTTAACATAGGCTGACCAAACTTTTAGTGCAAATGTCTTTGGGGGATATATGTCTAAACCAAGGTAGCCACCCACCCACCTCTTTACCTGAGAGCATCGTGAAACCATAAGAACTCTTCCAGAAATAGAAAAAGTTTCCTGTCTCCCCACCTGGGCCGCTCTGTAGGCAGGCATGATTGGAATGTGCTGACGGAAAAGGAATATGGAGGAGGGAGTGTCTTTCAGGAGTTTGAGAGGAAGAGCGAAGTTGAAAGTGTGCCGTAGCCAAGGGGAGTGGTAGAGTGTGTAGTTCAGGGGTGTTAAGACAGAAATGAAGATACAGCTACATATCAGTGAAATAAATCCAACCAATTAAAGTCTAGGTGTTTTCATAAAACGAGAAGATTTCATATACCAGCTACAACATAGGCAGCGTGTAAGTGCTGGGCTGTACAGTCCTATGGAAGTGAAACTTTCAACCTAAGTGTTCAGACTCAAACAGGTATTGCTAGAACAGTATTTCCTAATCTGCAGGGCAGATGAATAAGCACAGGTTCATTTGCTGTGCATGACAATATGAACAGGTAACATTGTCACCGAGTCTGCTTTGTTTGGGAAGGCGGTGGGAGGCAGAGAGAAGTCCCTGCCCAACTCATTTAAATATCTGGAGGACTCAGATGTTTCAGGATGTTTTCCAGATCTCTGATCTTGGCTGGACCCTCTAAACTGCTCAACAAAACTTTCGTTTCCCCTGAGTCAGCGTGTTTTTCCTGCTGCTATAATCGATTCTCCAAACTCTCACTGTGTTTCTGAAGCCTTGATGGGATTTCTGCTCCTCTCAGCCAAGTTTCTGATCACAGGAGAAAGTCAGGTACAAAGCCTGGAATTCGCTCACTTCCCTTTCGCTCTAGCCCGTCCTTCCCAAAGCAGCACCCATCCCCCCCCTCCTCTCCAACACTATCAATTTGCTGCAACAATCTCAAAAATCTCCCTTTCCACTGACTTTGTCCTTTGATTCTAAAAATAAAACCTGGCACCGTGTCCTTGGCCGTCTCTTCCCTTCAGCTATCGCTCCATGACTCTTCTTTGCTTTTCTGCTAAATTTCGCCTAGTGTCTTTACCTCTTTTTTCATCTACTCCGGTCTTACTGAAAATATATTCAGTACCTAATATGGCTGCTAAATTCAGGGTTTCTTTTCTTTCTCTTCTTTCTTTAAGATGGGCTTTGGCTGTGTAGCCCAGGCTAGCCCAGAACTCAGTGTTGGAATTCCAGGTGTGCCCCACCGTGTCTGACTTTGTTTCCCCTTTTAGCAGCAAACATGACCATCCCACTGCATTGACCCTGGTCTCTGCCTCTGCGTTGAGAAACATCTTCTCCTTCTCCTGTGTGTCTCCCTGCCAGTCTCTTCTGATTTTGTACATTTCTCGTTCTGCTTTTCTCTTTCCTGAATAAGCCTAGCATTCTGGCCCAAGTCTTATGGCACGAATGCTGACTGCCTCGTGTCCTAAGTGTGTGTCTTAGAATCTCTGTGTCGTGATAGCTCTCTCAGGCTAGAACACCTACTGGAAGGCCTCCTACCAAAGACTTGTCCCTTCCTGTATATTTATACACAGAGTTTTTTCCTTTAAAAATAAAAACAAATGGGCCTGTAATATTCCTGGTTTACTAACCCATCTGTGAAATCCATACGTGTTGACTTGGTGGGCAGAGCCGTTTACCAGTCATGCCTCAACCTACCTTTCTTGTCGGATCAATCCTGTCGGATCCTTTTCGGCATTTCTGCATGTCATAGTTTTAAAAAATTGTTCATTTATTTACTTTGTGAACTGAAACTGTAGCAAGTGAGAGACATTCTCATCTCTGAATTGAACTCAAAAAAAAAAAAAGGTAAATCTGTATTTAAAAAAAAATCCCACAAGGCTGGTTGACAAATTAGAAGTTCGTGACCACCCACCTCTGGATTAGTCTCCTTCTGTCTATCACACAAAACCTTTGGATTATATTAGCAAAGCACCGACTGTCACCAAACCCAGAGGTAAGAATTCCGCAGATAGCATCTAAGCCTGCAGCGGAGCTTCGCCTCCTTTGATATTTTCACCGATGTATTTGAAAAAAAAATGACTTTCTTTTGTTCTGTGACTACGAAAGCTACCCACCTCCACATTGGAACACTCTATTCAGGTCAACTTGAATCTGTTCCCAAGCTATGGTCACTCGTACCTGGCTCCAAATGAGCTTTGATTCCCTGTGGTCTAAGAGCTGTGATGTACATCAACAGTTATCCAATTGTCTTTTTTGCTGTACTTTTAGTGACTAATATTATATATGCCATCCTTCCAATTCGAACAGCTCTCCAGTCCCTCTTGCCTTCAATTTTTTCAAGAAAATGGAATGCTAGCTCTTTTTGCAAACACTCCCAGAGTTGCCCACGCAAAGCCATCTCAGCATTCTGACTACATTTATTGCTGTCTCCGGGAATCTGCCTGCTTTATTTAGCCTGCTGACATTGATATGTACTCACTCCTTGACCATTGGCCTGTAAATGTTTGGAAGGTTTTGCAAAGGTAAGGCCAGCTCAAAGCCTGGTGTCAGGAGGTTCACCTTAAACACATGTTAAACAAACAAGTTAGCCTTGCTTTCTTCCAGAAGCTCGGGACCCCAGATCTGTAGTGCCAAGCTTCTTCCTGTGGAGTTCTTACGATTAGATAAAAACTAATCTCCTAGACAAATGTTCTCCTGTGTCTGAGGGACAAGGTCTAAGGGTTGAGGAGATCAAAAAGGTGGAACTCTAACTTGCACCAAGCTGCTAATACTATCCAAATTGGTTTGTATTTATTAATAGACACTGGAAGATGAGGGTTAATTCCTTACAGTGGGAAAGGAGCTAAGAAGGTTTCAATGGAGAGGTGTCTGCCTTCAAGGGAGGCTAAGTAGACTATGGAGATTGCCCTGGTTACATTACTCTTAGATCTCTCCAATGACCTAATAGAGCTCAGATCACCCATGACCAAGTCCCACCTCTGCACCCCCATTCAAGTGCATTTAACAAGGAATATGTATTTTTAATGTGCTTACAGGAGATGGCCACCTATTATAAGTGGATAATAGGTATCCACTTATTGCTGGGAATCTTAGTTGGTACCATCCTTGTAGATTACTTGTAGATTCCTTTGTGCAAAGTTTTTTACCTGACCCCTAAATGCCCCCACTTTTCAGTAGTTTCTTTCAGTGCTCTCCCCACCTTTCCCCCAAGTCTGATCTCTCATATTCCCATTCCCACCTGCTCTCACTCCACTAATAAAATTTCTTCTGTTTCCTCTTTCCAAGAAGACCTGGGCATCTCCCCATCAACCTTCCTTGTTACCTATTCTCTCTGGATCTGTGGATCATAGTTACCCTTTATTTTACAGCTAGTATCTACTTATGAGTACGTACACACCATGTTTGCCTTTCTCGGTCTGGGTTACCTCACTTAGGATGCTTTTTTTTCTAGCTTCATCCATTTGCCTTCAAATTTCCTGGTGTCCTTGTTTTTAACAGCTGAGTAATGCTTCATTGTGTAAATGTACCACATTATCTTTACCCATTTTTTTGGTTGAGGGACATCTAGGCTATTTCCAGGTTCTGGCTATTACAGATAAAGCTGTTATGAACATAGTTGAGCAAGTGTCTTGTCTATGATTGAACATCCTTTGGGGGATATGCCCAAGAGTGATACTGCTGGGTCTTGTGGTAGGTTGATTTCCAGTTTTCTGAAAAACTGCCACACTGACTTCCAAGTGGCTCTAAAAATTTTCTTTCCTACCAGCAATGAAAAAGTGTTTCCCTTGCCCCACATCCTCTCCAGCTGGATGGATTTTAGCCATTCTGAGAGGTGGAAGATGGGACCTCAGCATCATTTTGACTTTCATTTTCCTGGTGTTGAACATCCCCTTAAGTGTTTCTTGGCCATTTGAGAGTCTTCTGTTGCCTAGCCCAATTGTTATCAGAGAGGCTTCATCCGGCAACTGATGGCAACAGATGCAGACCCACAGCCAAACATTAGGCAGAGTTCAGGGAATCCTCCAGAAGAGGGAGAGAAAAGATTATAGGAGTCAGAGAGATCAAAGACACCATAAGAAATCGCAGGGAACTAACCTGGCCAGATTCATAGCGGCTAACAGAGACTGAATCAACCACCAGGAAGCTTGACTGGGACTGACCTAGACACTCTGCGTGTTTGTTACAGTTGTGCAGCTTGGTCCTCTTGTGGGACTCCTAATGGCAGGAACAGGGGCCGTCTCTGACTCTTTTACTTGTGACTCTTACTCTTTTACTATGCTTGTGGGACCCTACTCCTCACACTGAGTCACCTTGCCTAAATACACCTTGCTATGCCATGTTTTGTTGATACTCATAGGAGACCTGCCCTTTCCTAAACAGAAACGGAGGAAGAGTAGATTGTGGGGTGGAAACAGAGAGGGGGTGGGGGAAGGGCCTTGGAAAAGAGGAGGGAGAGCAAATTCTGACTGGGATGTAAAATATATAAATTTATTAAAACTGATAGAATAACTACTTAAACATTGGAATGTTTTTATTTTCCACAGGACTAATACTTTCTTCCTAGTTGTTCCAAATTGGGTAGATGAATCAACATTTGTTGAGTTTTGAACCCAGGAACAGAATGTCACTTTTACATCAAGGCTTCTCAACCATGATCTTATTGACCACTAGACTAACTAATTCTTGTGTACTAGGGCCGTGGGGAAGCCCTGAACTCTGTTATGTGTTTGTTAGCACCTTGGCCTCCACCCACTAGTTGCTGGTCGCACACTCATCCTTGGCAGTAACAGTAATGTTTTGGACATTGCCAACTGGACGTGTGTGTGTGTGTGTGTGTGTGTTGAATGTGTTGGTCACCCCTAAGGTACTTGTTTCACTATTGAGGTACCATCGAGGCTATCTTGCTGGTCCAGTCACCGTGGTGGTGCACAGGCTCTACAGCTGAGTTGAACTTCTTTCTCATTGCTCCTCTCCCTTGACAGCTGATGAAACGTCTTCTGGTACTGTGAGAGCCAGAGAAGGCTTCCAGGACAGCTTCAGCTCAGTTCTCCCAAGTCCTGTGTCCAAAGTGTGTGGTGTCTTCAGCGATAGGTTTTTATTTTTAATGTTTTGGGAGACACTAGTATTCTTCAGACAAACAGCGCAGGGGGTTTCCCATACCAGGCACCAGGGTTTTGGTAAATAGTGCATGACTGTTGAGGGTATTTAAATGGGTGTTATCACTCCTTTAAATAAACAAACAGTACGTACACACATATGCACCTACATATATGATTAAGTAAATTTATAAGATAGTGTTGTCTGGTAGATTTTTCAAACATCTTTAGTGTTATTTTCTCTCCTTGTCTATTCCCCTGCCCCTCCCAATTTTAAAGCCGCCTTTCATTTTTCCTACTATCCCATTTCTAGAGCTGTTCCCCCCCACCCATCTACAGAGCTTCCTTCCTACTTTACTGGCTTCTTTGGATACTTCGGGTTGTATGCTCAAATTTGGAACTGGGATCCACACTTAAGGGAGAACATGAAGCATTTGTATTCCCGGATTGAATCACTTAATTCAGGATATTTTCCAGCTGCATCCATTCACCTACAAATTTCACTATTTCATTGTCCTTTATAGCTGAATAGAATTTCATTGCGTGCACACGTGCACATGTGTACCACACCTGTTTTATCCGCTGGTCAGCTGAAAGACATTCTGGTTGTATTCCCTAGCTATGGGTAACAGAGAGGCAGCCAACATGGCTGAGCAAGTAACTCTGGAGTACACGTTGAGTCCTTTGTGTATATGCCAAGTAGTGGTATAGCTGGGTCTTAGAGTGGATTTCTTTTATTTATTCATCTGGACTTCCCCACATGGATTTCCATAGTGGCTTCGCCAGTTTGCAGTCCCATCAACAGCGAATGAGTTCCCCTCTGCCCAGATGTTCACCAGCCTTTGCTGTCAGTTGTTTTCTTGATCTTAGCCGTTCTGACTGCAGTGAGCTGAAATGTCAACGCAGTTTTACATTTTCATTTCTGTGACTGCTATGGATGTTGAACACTTTAAAAAAAATATTTCTTAGTAGTTTTTAATTTCCTCTTTTGAGAATTGTCTGTGCAGATCTATAGGGCCATTTGTTTACTTGATTCTTTGTATATTTTGGATATTAATTCTCTATCAGATGCATAGCTGACAAAATTCTGTCCCATTCTGTAGACTTCTTCTTCATTCCACTGTTCCCTGTGTAGTACGGATGAGTTCTGATTTTATGAAGGTTTTATTTGTTGTTGTTGGCCCTTATTCCTGAGCAAATGGAGTTTTCTTCATAAACCCCTTCTTGCACCTGAACCCTGTAGGGTAGTGCCGATGTTTTCTTCTAGCAGTTTTAGTGTTTCTGGCTTCACGTCTAGATATTTGATCCATTTGAAGTTAGTTTTGTGCAAGGCAATGCATGTGGGTCTACCTACATTCTTCTACTTGAGGACATCCACTTTCCCCAGCCCAGCTCTATGAAGATGCTTCTCCCAATATTTATTTTTGTAAAGTATCAGAGAGTTGCAGTTGCATGTACTCACGCTTGGATCTTTTATTTCCTTCCATTAGTCTGCATGCCTATATTGATGCTAGGACTATGCTCTTTGTGTTACCATAGCCCTGTAATATAACTTGAACTCTGGTATGAAAATTCATGCCGTACAGTTCAGAATTGCTTTGTCTGTCCAGGTCTTTGGCACCTCCATATGAATTTAAGAATTCTAGTTTGGTGTAGAATGCTGTTGTGACTTTTATTGGGATTGTATTGGATCTGTACACTGATTTTGGTAGGATAATCATTAAGTCTATCAAACCATGAGCATGGGAGGTCTTTTCAACTTCCGGTGTCTTTCTTTGGAGGCTGAAAATCTAATAGGTTCACTCCTAGATAGTTCTTGAGGCTTTGGCAGCTGGGACCATTTCTGTGACTTTTTTCTGAGCATGTTCACTACTGGCTTATAGGAAGGTTGTTTACTAATTTTTGTAAGTTGATTTTGTATCCTGCCACTTTAAAAAACGCTTTCTAGTAAAAGCTTTGGGATCTCTTATGTATAATATCATATCACTTGCAAATAAGCACAATTTAACTACTTGTTTTCCTCTTTACATCTCCCTAATTTCTCTCTCTTGCCTTTATTTCTCGAGCTGGTGCTCATTATATCGGAAAAGAGTGGGGACAATGGACAGCCCTCTCTCATTCCTAATTTTAGTGGGATTGATTCAACTTTTTCTCCAATTAGGACAATGTTGGGTGTGGGTTTGTCACATACAGCATTTTATGCTGAAGTATGTTCCCTCCAGGGCTGTTACCGTGAAAGCATGTTGGTTTTTTCAAAGGCCTTTTAAGCATCTATTGAGAGGATCACGTCACTTTTGTCTTTAAGTACATTTATATGATTTACTGTATCTATTATTTTACATATGCTGAACTGTCCCTGCATCTCTAGGGTAATCTCTCATATTAAAGGGAATAAGAAATTGTTTACTCTAAAGTCAAATGACCTGTGGACAAAAAATTGGGTTATTCCAAACACCATGTTTCCACATAAGAGTTTCATGAAGGTTTATAGTTAAGAAGCAAAAGCGTCATAAGCAAACCTATCTTTCAAATATACTAGTGGGAACATTAGGTAGGTGGTTAAAACAAAATGGTCAGCCTCTGCTGTGGCCTTCAGATGTCACCTGCTGATGTTCTTAACTTTGGCATCAGTAGAGGTTCTGTTCATTTCTGTTCATATTTTGCAAAAAGACTTACTAATGAGACCAAAGCGATTACAAGCAGACCTGGGCCATAAGTGGCTATTTGGAGGGCTAAAGCCCAAGTTAATTTGGCTTTGGGTCTTGCAGCATTCCAACTCTCTACAATACCTGAAGTTCTAATGAGTCTTATAGAGTGTTCAAAGCAGGCCTCTCTTTTTCTGTTGTTCTGGAGATGCCACTAAATGTTGCCTATATAATTTTCCACTTTATATCCAATGTCTAGCTAAGTGCTGACACATAATTAAATTAGAATATTACTCAATAAATAGAATATTTTTGTTAGTTTAATAAGTAATAGAATTTTGTCTATACAGTCTGAGGAAACCTTTTGTTTAACTCTTTCTTGACTTAAGATTTAGTAATCCCACTCAAATGCATAAATAAACTGGGCAAAATTCAAGATTCAAGTAATGATGTATGTGTATGTGCGTGTGTATGCACACGTGTGTGTGTTTAATTGTGTGTATTTACACAGTGTAAGATAACCAATAATTGCTCTGTGTACAAATTTACGATAAATTCTAAAACAATTCCAACTGGTAAATGCGCTCACAGCAGGAAAAAGTGATTTTCCTATCTTGGTATTCATGCACAGGATTTCTAAAATAGCTAAAATGGAACAGAATCCTGAACGCCAAAATTAAAAAATGATCTATTTTGACTCAATAACATTCTAGCCAAGGTCTAGCTATTTCCCCAAAGGCAAGCTCTTTAAGGTAGCATTACAGTTGGCTTTTAAGCTGGAATGAGAGCCCAGGGTGGAAGTGTGCTTGAATTGTGACAATCTGACCTCAGAATGTGATGGAAATGTCCCTCTGCCTTCCCCGCTGCAGATGCAATCGACTACGACAAGTTTTACGCCACAGTGCAGCAGATCTTCGGCCCTGAAGTGAAGAATCAAGATGTAAAATGCTTTTACAGGAAAATCTGCAACAACCCTGATGCGTCTATTGACTGGTGTGAGGTACTTGCACATCATTTGAAACCCAGGTCTTATTTTGCTTTGTTCAGAACAAGCAATTAAAACAGTGTTACTCCCACCAAAGCTAAATATACAGTGTATACACAGACTATTACTGAATCTACAGCAATTTTAAGACTTAGCTATGGACTGGAGAGATGGCTCAGTCAGTAAAGGCTATGTTCACAACCAAAACTACAAGACTTAGCTATAGCCCACAAGAAAGTGGGGAAAACAGGCAGCTATTTAAACATAGTATCCTTGACTACTTTTTTCTCTCTTTTTTAGACAGGATCTCACTATGTAGCTCCAGCTGACCTAGTGATCACTACGTAGATCAGGGTGGCCTTGAACTCACAGTTTCCTGCCTCTGCCTCCCAAGTGCTGAGATTAAAGGCTTGCATTACCATGCTTGTCTCAGCGAGTAGCTTTTCCAACTTTTCCATGAATCTAGGAGTTTGAACTGTCAATGCCATTTGACATCAATCAAGACTTTAAGTGCTTTTGCTGCACTTGACAATGAAACAGTTCTTTTCAGCAATGTCAATCATAAGCATGCATTTTCAGTGTGTGCACATCATCAACATAAGGGATGAGGTTTGTTTAGTTGGTCTTTTCTGTCAGTTCTTGAAGTGTTTTTCGATTGGCAGAATAGTGATGCAAAAATTACAAACATGCAAGGAGCCAAAACTTCTGGCTCACTCTTAGAAATGAGTGGAAATCATAAATGAGAGAAAATAGGATGGTTTCGAGTATCTGACTGTCACACATTAACAATATTGTCAGTTGTTGGCAACCAAACCTGGCTTCTAGGAGCCCTAAGAAGTTATAATCGGCAGCCCTTCCCCAACATGTCAATTAAAGAGACAATTAAGCATGAAAAACAAAGAAAGGAGGTTTATTCACAGTGGCCATTTTGTAAAGAGGAATAAAGGGGTCCAGTGACCCGCCCCCAAGTCTGAGTTTGGAGATACTGATATGAAGTTCAAGTCTATATGGAAGGTAAGAGGGACTTATAATGAACCGGTTCTGGTCAAGGTATGGTCCAACCTACTGTAGACTGGTCATTGTCTAAGGCCCAGTCTGTCCTGTGATGGTCCAACAATTGTTAAAGTTGTGACATCTCTTCCTGGGAGACAAGTATCTCTGGATGGCACCAGGGGTCCAGCTTTTCCCATTCCCCAGAATAGGATTCCTGGGAAATTTCTTCCTTCATGCCCAATTGTTTCAATAGTCTGATAGCTGAAGGGCAGAGCACAGTGTCTCTGTAGACTATCTCCTCTCCTGCCAAGGCAGTTGCAACAATCAGACAGACATGTGTAGATGGGTTTTGATGCATGTCAAACTTACGGAAGGTCTGTCTTATGTTTAACTACATATAGACCACTACAAAATTGACTATATGTTTTGTTTTTAAAAAGATTAATAACCCAGTGAAATAAGAATTGAAAACTCATAATACAAGACAGCCCAAATTCCAAAACCAGTCAAAGCAAAAATTGCTAATTACCTTTGAAAAAAACTTAAAAACAAAAAGCTGCTATAACCCTTAAGAGACTATCTTACTAATATGCTAAAAGTTGAATGGTTATCCAGATCATTTTATGAAGCTAAAATAACAGAGTTGAACAAAGAAAACAAGAGGCAAATATTATTTATGAACAGAAATGCTAAAATTTTAAATAACATTAAAAGTGAATTCCAGGAGTACACTAAAAAAATTTCTGAGTAAGAAAATGGGGATGGTTCAGTATTAGAAAAGCCGCAAATTTCTTTTAATGGTTTAAGGGGAAAATCAATGCCATAATCTTAACAGAGGGCAGCAAACTAAAACCCAAGGCCGCAGCTGGACACATGCAGATTTTATAACCAGCTCATTGGGCACAGCAAGGTCCAGTCAGCTGCGCACACTCTATAGGTGTTCTGAGACACAGTAGCAGGGATGGACAGCCTTGACAGACAGCTAGTGGCGTGTGAACCTCACTGTTTACTACCTGGCCCTTTTTCAGAAGATTACTGCCTCCCAGTCTTTACGATTAAATAAAATAAAAATAAGGAAGAAAATTTATAAAAATCCAGCAACTGCCCCTACTTTTAAAAGAATTACGAAACAGTAAAAATGAAAGGAAATTAACTGATAAAGGAGCCTATTTTTTTAGTTTTCTTTCTTTTTTCCCCCTGTGTGTCTAGAACAAATGACTACACATTTAGTAATTTAAGAAAGCATGCATTATATCATAGTTTCCATTGAAAAGGAGTCTGAGAAATGGTCCTGGGAAATTCTCATTCGAAGTCTTATAGAGCTGCAGTCAGCTGTTAGCTAGGCTGTGGTCTCATTTGGAGACCCTCTGGGAAAAAACGTGTCTAAGTTCCAAGTTGTTGACAGGGTTTACACCCTTTCTGCATAAAAAAAAAAACCACCCCAACACTCCAGTAACTGAGTTTCAGTTTTTCTTCCTTTTTACTCATTCTTGTAAATATTCCTGGCTTTCTAAGCAGAGGTTGAACCCAGGTTCAGATACTCAACCCTCCATTGAAGGCTTAGGCAAAACCAGACAGCTACATTAAGACATTAAAAACACTAATGAGAAAATTTGGATCTATCCTTAATAACCGTGTAACAAATCTCATAAAAGCTTTGACAATAAAATTCACAAAAGACCTTGTGCAAATTGGGAACCTTTCCCACAGACTGCTCATGAATACCTACAAAACTTGGCCAACTACATACTAAAGCAAAGATTCTGCCACTCAGTAAATTCCCAAAGTATGTTCAATTTTTATTTTTCTTTTTAAAGAGCTGAAACACAATTTTAACTTACTTCTTTGCTCAACTGTGATATCAAAAGTTCTCTTGTTCTTTCTGTTGTTTGCAGGTAAAAACCTGTGATGGTCAGGACCAATTTGTTCTTTCTCTATGTTGATATTTGCTGTGCTGTCCAATAAAAATAGAAAGGGTGGGGTGATGTCTCAGTGAGTTAAGTGCCCGCTGGGCAAGCACTAGGACCAAGTTTCTGTCTCCAGAACATAGTTGAACATCATGCTTCCAACAGAGACAGTTCAGACAGGTCCAACCTTTTGACATTTAGAGACAATGCTGTCATCCGTAAATCTTACCATACAATGGAGTTATAAAAAAATGACAAAAATTCTTATGTTAGAAGTGAGTTTACAATTTGAGGTAGGGCTGCGCTCATAGCTAGCCTTAGTTGCATACAGCCAAGGATATGCCTAGTGAATGTATGAGAATACGTTATCTAGTGGAATAGAAGTGGGAAGGAATACAAGCACACCATAAGACTCAAGTATCAAAGGTGAAGAATTCTGATTGTCAAGTTTCCCTCTCCACTCCATCTCCTCCTCCTCTCTCTCTCTCTCTCTCTCTCTTTCTGGGAATGACATAGCAGGGGCCCACTGCTGACATTTTCATCCTACGCTTGGGGCCAAGTTTCCAAGATGTCTTGGAATTCTAGGTATAGTTTTTTTTTTGGTAAAGATTTCCAGCTTGGTTAACTGAATTTTGTGCAGTGATGCCCTGTGTTTTTCTAGCCTACTATGCATTATTGTTGATGTTGCTAACATTAGAGTGAACTGGACTCAGGGTGCATTGAATGAAACCTCAAAGCACCTTTTCTATATTACCAAGGATAGGAGACCCAGTCCACTGAGCGCAGGTGGACCGGGGTGTGCGTATATATATAATCTCTGCCTGATTGGGTCAGACGCAACCATGCAAATACACCAGGACATCTGGAAGAAGAATGGGAAACACTGGGCTCCTCCTCAGTGAGTGCACTGTATAATAGAACTGCACAAAGCTCTATTAGAGAAGAGAGCATCTGGGGAGTGAATCCTTAGATGCTCTAGACCTTTGCCACATGGGACTGTCAAACACTGGAAGTGTGATTTGTCTGAGTGGAGCTGTATTGTAAGTATAAAATACATACATATTTCAAAAGCATTGTATGAAAAAATGCCAAGCATTTCGCATTGACTTTTAATAGTAATTATATATTGAAGTTACATTTTCAACATGCTGAGTTAAATACAATACATGAGTAAAGTTGATATAATTTTTGTTCTATCTATGTTTCATGTAGATACCATAAGATTTAATATTATATATATGACTTATATTATGTTTCTATTGTACATCCAGAAAATGCCAAAATAAGAACAGAATGAATTCTTTCTGACTATCAAAGTCAGGCTTTTAATTTGTATTTTGGGGTAGTGGCTTCATGTATGTATGTGTGTGTATATATATATATATATATATATATATATAAAACATTTTATTAATTCTTTGAAAATTGTATGCAATGTAGTTTGACCATATTTACCCTTCCCCCAGTTCCCCCTAGATCCACTCCCACCCCCCTAGGTCTCTGAAACTATGACCTAAAGACTATCAGCAGATAGTCTTTCAATGTCAAGAGCATCCTTTTTTATATATTAGCACTAAGATTTATTTTACATTTTTACCAGCCTAAAGTGCTGTCTTAGTATAGCAAGCTTCAAATCACGTACTGTGAAGGAACCCAGGACTGTCATGTTCCATACTTGTCAAATGATGAGATGATGCCCAGGGGTAGAGGTGTGCTCATGGAGCCCCAGAGAAACTGGAAGTCTTTGAACGTAATGGAGTATGATTGTAAAGTAAATCTGCATTTTTTTTCAGTTGTGGAGAGGAGGAATTTGAGTCCCATTCTCTGGCATCTGCTCCTTCTAGTGTTACATAATCCTCTTACATCCATAAAGTCTTTTCTTTTTACTGTAGAAAACCACGTTTTTGCCATAATGAGGCTGAGAACAGAGAAACCCAGAATGGTAACTGATTTATCCAAAGCCACATAGAAATTGGTCTCCATCTACCAATTTCAGATGCCATTATCCTTTCCCATCTTCTGGGCTCCTCCAAACCTCGAAGCTTTGATAGAACAGCTCTTGAGCAGCCTCTAATGCACTTTGTGCATGCGGAAGATGGCTGAGACTCAAGGAAGCTGTGCAGGCTGCTCCGCCTTCATTGCATTTCTATTTTCTCACCAACCATATGAGTCACTGCCCCTCAAGGGGCGTTGCTATTTCGAGTACTGCAACCTAATCTTTCTGGGCTTCAGATCTGTCGTCTGTAAAATGGAAAGTCAATATTAACTGATGAAGACTCTCTTCATTTCAATATCGATTGCCTGGTTTTTATAAAGTGTCTTATGAGTTAATAGTCATTGATCAGGCCATATGAGTTGGATTCATTCTTCAAAAATAAGGCAAAAGTACACAAATCTGATTCCAAAATATAAATCTTTTCATGGGAGCAATGCCACAAAAAAATTGCAATTTCTTTTTCTGAGGTTTAGACGCAAGTATACTTGGAGAATTTTACATTATTAGGCTAGTGAAATCTTAGAGCTAATGAAAACATAATCTATGTCTGATCCTGCAATATATAATGAGAAAAACTAGGTGTAAAGAAATCTGAATGTCGTGATTGCCTTACACTTACAAAGTTAATCGGTGAAAAGGCTGTGTTGCTAACAGGCAGCTTTTGTAGTTTATATATGAAATGCCTTCCATAGACTCACATGTTTGAACACTTGATCCCCACATGGTGGGACTGTTTGGATGCCTGTGGACTTCTGGGAGGAAGGGAGTCACTGTAGGGGTGGGGAGTCTTGTGGTTTTTAGCCTAGCCCAGCTTCTTGTTTAGTCCCTGCTCTTCTAAGTGTGGATGCAAGGTGACCAGCTGGCTTCCTGCTCTTCTGACCACGCCAACCCTGCCTGCTGCCAAGTCTTCCTCACCATTATAGACTCTACACTGCTGGAGACAGAACAAGCCCCTTCTCTCTTCCATTGCTTTGTCAGAATGTTTTATCACAGCAACAAGAAAGGAAACTAAGAGAGGAGCATATAATGAGATTTTTAGGAGCACACTGTGTACTAATTCAGATCTGAGTCACAATATGGGATGCCAATCATGCCCTCCAAGGTAAATTTAAAGAGAATCTTTATGAAGGTAAAATTATATTCGCTAACTTCAAAATGTTAAAAGAATGTTCTAGAGTAGATTAAAAATAAGCTGACACAAGTTTTTATTTGATCTACCTGCTTTTCACTTTTCCCATATGTTCTACACTGAACATATGCTCCTTAAGTAATCAAAAATTTTTTGGAATTGCTGAAAGCATGGAGAATCTCTGGAAGTTGCATTGTTAAAAGAATATTAATTCTGTTTGTGATATAATACTTGATAGGCATAAAGTACTCAGGCCGGCAATGCGCTCAAATCGTGTTACAGTTTCTAGCCGGAGATGTGCAATTTTCAAGAAAGAAACTAGAGATCCTTGAGGCTATGTTTATCATAAGATGACAAGAGATATTTCTCTTTGATCATAAGATTTTCTCCTTGAAACACAACCTTTCAAAATGAGATTTGCCACCTCTTCTGAAGCTTATCTGTTATCTAAAAATTTTCCTGAATAATTTTCAGTGATTTGATGCACTTGGTTTCCTTGAGAAGTTGTTAAGTAATGTGATAAAGTGATTGTTATAAGTGAAAGTAGCAAAATCAATCACCTGTTTTAAAATTTCATTAGCACATATTAATAACACAGGATGATGGGCTTCATTATGATGCTGCACACATTTGTATTTGGATCATATTCACCCTCCCTTTACTGTCTCTTGTCCCCTCCCACTTTCCCTAAGCCCCACCCTCTTTTCAACTGATCACATTTCTATTTTCATATCTTGTCAAAATTGGGTAATTATGGAGGAGTCGATTTAGCATATACATTCACATGGCTCTAAAGGACATGTATGATAAAGTGCGTGACGGAACGCTCAGACAACAACGGTATTTAGTGAATGATTTTTTAGCTGGCGAGGACATAAAGGAACCTAAGTTCTATTTCCTATGCTGTTCCTGGAAATCTAGCGTCCCATTCCTCACATGTTGACATCAACTGAGTTACTGTCTGGCACTTGGTATAATCAAAGCTCATTATACTCTTTCTAATTACTAAGAAATAGAATCATCCACATCCCCGTTTAACGGGGACTATTCCTGATGATCATTTTCCAGATGAGCAAACCTCAGGCACAGAGAACCAACAGTGGTTTAAGATCATGTGACTAGCTGACAGTAGAATGAAGATTGAAACTGATTTCCAAGTCCCAAAGTGTGTGATTCTGCCTTGCAGGGGTGCCTTGCTCCCAGACTTCCTCCCACATCTCTTCTCACTGATCAGACACCCTGTTGCCATCTCCACAATGACTCTGCAGAAACAAAACATCAGGGTGAATGGCTGTGTGCAAACTATTGGAGGTTACTGTACACATAGGACCTGGTTTAGAATTAGCAGTGCCGTGTGAAATTCTCCTATCCCAAGAAACACTGGAGCTGTTTTAACAGGGAACTGAGGAATCGTGGTCCCCAATGTCGTTTCACTTTGTGACCTGAACATTATCATTGCACATCACCATCTTAGGTTTCATGGGCTGCCAAAAATTTATTAATTGTGCTGAAGAGTGCCCATAAGATGAGAGCATATAAAAGTGCCCTCCTTCCCAAGAGTCCTGGTCCCCACTTGTACAATCAGTCACCATTCTAGGTGATTGTGAAGGGAATTTGCTGATGAGTTTAAGGTGCCTAATTTGGGGAGATTATCCTAGATTATCTAAGTGCTTCAAAGTCCTTCAGAGTAAGATAGGGAGGGGAAGGATCCAAAACATGGAGGAGACTTGAAACTCTTCTGCTGTTGTTGAGAAGGAGGGACTTATGTCTAGGACTGAATAGAAGCCCCTGAAATCTAGGCAGTGTCAGCTGACAGCCAACAGGCAGATTAACATCATGCCAACAACCTGACCAATTGACAGTCGATTCTTCCCAAAGACTCCAGTAAACACAAATGTCTACTATCTCTTCGATGGAGCCTGCAGAAACCCGTTTCGGACTCGAATCTATGAAACTATTAATTAATAAAGAGACTTTCCTTAAAGTCAGGTTTGTGGCCATTTGTTTTGGTAGCATTAGAAGAAGGGTAAAGCAGGAGGAAGGTGGTTGGGCTGGGGAGATGGCTCAGTGGGAAAGTGCTTTCTGCAGAAGTGTGAAAACTTGACCTCAATGTCTCCAGCATGCACACAAAGTCAGCACAGCGGCACCGCGCGCTGTAACCCCAGTGCTGGCCAGGCAGAAGCAGGTGGGTCCCCAGAGCTCTCCGGCCTCAGGAAGCGACTCTGTCTCAGAAAATAGAGTGATAGAGGAAGACTTTTAATGATGTGCACATGACATTCAAAATTCCCTGTTATTTTAAAAACTCTCATTAATAGGTTAAAAAACCATTCATTTCTGCTCACTAATAAGTTAGTAGGTGTTGTTTAATTGCTGGTGGTTTTGAGACAGACTTTTCCTGTGTTGTTCAGGCTGACATCAAATTGGTCTCAAACACCTTACCTCTCAATACCTGAAGTTATAGATTTGTGTCACTGTGCCTGGCTCACAGCTGCTGATGTTTTCCAAATACCTCTGATTTTGAAACTTTCACAATTTGATAATTTGTTCAAAAAGATCAATTTTTATACTGAGACTATCTTTTTATAGCAAGGTAGCTGATTTTCACTCAACACCTGGAAAATGGGCAGCTAATAAAAAAAAAAAACTGAAATCTTTTGTATTCTGAAGCTTCCCTCTGCCAGGATGAAAAACCTGACCCAGCAAGATCGATAGATGATGGTTAGGAACAGTCAGTCATGGTGAACGTGCATAGTTGAGGCCCTGTCCCATGAAGGTTGACTTCATTTTCAAACAAGGTCAAGATGGTAATTGATCATTTGTTCTGAGCAGGGCGCCAATTTGGTGCGTGGTTGCTCCACAGAAAAGAAGTCAATGCCTCTCTGGAAATCACTCCTCCTCAGTGAAAAGTGTGTTGAGTGTCCCTTATTTCCAGAGCACTGCCGTCTCTGACATTGGACAACCGGGGGCATTTTATCTCAGCTAGACTTTGAATTCAGCCGACGCAGAATCTGTTGTCACCTGGCAGCCAGTTCTGAGCTACGGATCATGTTTACTTTGTTTGGATTTTAGATCTTTGGCTACTTCTCCTCAGAGGAAGATTCTCTTACTTCGCAGATAGATGAAGAAAATTTGGTTTTCCTTGTGTCCAGAAAACAGCGAATTGTGATTTCAGGTGACTTGTACATTTCTTTTCTAAGTTGGTGTGAATTTTACTATTTTTCTCACAACTAAGCTTCGGGAACATGCTGTTTCCGAAGAATCACCTTTCATTTCAAGCACTCACTCAGTTCTTCAGAAGTAGCAGTTTGGGTTGAGTTTCCAGAGACACTATCTGCTGTTGAAACTGGAAGGTCACCCTCGCTCTGAAAGACGCTCGCGAAGGTGAGGGTGGAAAGAAGGCAGCCTGTAAAGAGGCTCAGGACTCCACATAAGTCTCTCTGATGGCATCCTGTTAGCACGTGTGCCAGGGTCACCAAATGGAATTGCGTGTCTTTGCAATATTCTTGAAGAGTTCCTCCCAACTTGCTATCCTTGAGTCTTCCATAGACAGTTTCTTTGAAAGCAAGTTTGAGCCAATCAGGGACATCTAAGAAGTTTTCAAGTTTCCAGATGTCGTTGTTGCTATTGTTTTAAAATCTGACCCTGGGACTTAGGCACTGCCATCCCTCTGCACCCTCGGCACTTTGGGTTTTCTTCCCTGTTTGTTTGCCCAGGGCGGGAGAGGGTCAGGAGACAAGATAAAGCCTAGGGGCTCTTTCTGTCTCTCAGCATTATATTCCACTTTCTGAGATGAAGGGAGCACTCGAGAATGAGTCCGGTGTTCCTTTAGCAAGTGCATCGCAATGGCAATGTGCAATGTGGGGATGCAGTTCAGTTGGAATGATATCTGTGGTGTGGGTCTGAATGCGGTGAAGAAAGGGACACACTTCCCCGGCCTCATCTGTTGTTTTCTCTTATGAGAACGCGGGCTAACTGGAGTATAGACTCTGCTCATGTTTGTTGTTCTTTAAGTGTTTACAATGATAAAAATTCCATCACCACAAACAGACCGTGGTGGTGCACACCTGTAATTGCAGCCCTCAGGACAAGAGGAAAGCCGTGAGTTCAGGGCCAACCTGGGCAACACGCCAAATGAAAATCCAAAGAAACAAAAGTTAACCCACCCTGAAAAGTATTATGCATGCAGCTTTGTCCTTTGGCCTGTGGGTGGGCAGGGTAGCATCAAAGTATCTCGTGTTGTTTTCCTGAATGCACAAAATGTTTTTAGAAGTCTTAAGATAGCATCAAAGCAGTTTGATTCTTTTCTAATGGAAAGCCTGAGATGGTGTTAGGACTTTAGTCTGTGCAGACCGCAATGATGACACTTCAAAGACCACTAAGACATGCGAAAAGCCTCAAAGGAGAATGATTGCACATGATGGTTAGAAAACCCATTCTCTGTGAAATGTGCCCGTAAGTGGTGTGTGTGTGTGTGTGTTTGTGTGCACATGTGCACGCATGCATGTGCGTGCTCTTAGGGGTGTGGGTGGATGTCGGGATGTGGAGCTGTAAGTAGTTTGGAAGTTCATGCACCATATTCAGCCGAAATGTTCTATATTTATATTGGATCTCTAAGGATAATAGAAAATCAAGCAGTAGTTGCAGGGATTTTTATGGCCTTATTCCATGTTTTAAGTAACTCAGGGCTTCTTGTAAAATGCTGGCTGCCTTCTTTTTCTTTCTTTTTCTTGTTTTAGACCAATAACGAATGAATTTTAGGACCTCTGGAATTTGACATTAATCACGTGCTTTTGACAGGTAGTAGAAGACGAGATGTGATTAAATGCATTGTGAAGGTCCCACAGCTGGACTTATTGATAACAGCATCTCAGAAAGGATTGATCACCATCTTTAACAGTCAGGTAATTTGAAAGCTTTCCCCTCCCGTTTTCTCTTCCTGCATTTTATCTATGCATTATCCAAATGCTTCAGAAAACACAACAGCATTTCATTATTATTTAAAAAATGACTATAGGGATCCCTGAGCCCTGAGGAGATTGCTGAGGTTTGATAGCTGCATATGGTGTTGTTTCTCAAAAGTGTCGTAGTGAATCACATGCTGTCCATTGTGTAAAGGTCGATCTGGATAATTTCCCAGATAAAACCATGAGCACATGCCAGCTGAGTAATAGAAGCTGCTGGGAGGGTTGTGAACTTGCAGTAGAAGAAATGCCTCAGGTGGCCCTGGTTTTCTGTGATGTTGAATAAGGGACTTCATGGGCCTCTTGTCTTTACAGCAGGAAGAACAGACAATATGAAGATCAAATTCGATTATGAAGTAGAAACATGAGTATTCCAAAAGAATGCATGGCAATATTCCCATATTCTTCAATGTGAAAACAAGAGATGCATTCTTGCTCTTAAATACAGAGTAAAGATTCAAAGTTTATTTTTAACTGAAGACAATGATGAGTGTTTTTATACAAGAAAACTGTATTTGAAATAATCATCATTTTCCAATATCAATTTTAATCCTTCAGTAACACTCAACTTGGGGAGTTTTCCAGATGATCCCAGCTAGGGCAATGAGATTGTTAGGGAAGGGCCATCTGGGTACTGGGCTTTGTATGTGTAGACAGAGTCTGTGGCTTTGAGTGTGTGGACAGAGTCTGTAGCTTTGGGTGTGTAGAGAGCGACTGCTGTCCAGCCTTCTACAGACATAGCTGGGTGTGGTATTTAATGTCTCCAGACCCCAGATCTCATCCAGAACAATAGATTTTCCCTCCCCACATCATAGTGCTGCTTAAATGCACGGATACATCTACTGTGCTAGCCTCACTGTGAGCACCCAGCAGATTCTGGAGATTAATGTAATAATTAAAAAAAAGCTCTGCCAGGCAGTTGTGGCGCACACCTTTAATCCCAGCACTCGGGAGGCAGAGGCAGGTGGATCTCTGTGAGTTCAAGGCCAGCCTGGTCTACAAGAGCTAGTTACAGGACAGGCTCCCAAGCTACAGAGAAACCCTGTCTCGAAAAGAAAAACCAAAACCAAAAACAACAACAACAAAAATCTCAGATAACTGGCCTCTTTTTATACAAAACCCTTCTCCATCTTTTCCTTTCTCCCTAAGAACATTCATTCCCTCTTCAATATAGACATTTATTTCTTCAAAAATCAGGCTAAGTTGGGATCTATAAAAACACAGTGAGGAGGAAAGTAATTGGCATTGTAAAGTAGTCCTTGATTATGAGAAAGTGAGATTTGTTCCTCTGAGATGCTTCACAGACACCCAACGAAACAAGGAACACTACAGAGAAGTTTATAGTTGAGCACATGGAAACGCACAAACACGCAGAAAGTCACCTTGGCTTCTTATAGAACAATGTAACAAGCTCCTAAAACAGAAGGAAAGAAATAAAGGAGGAAAGAGAAGAAGAAAGGAAAGAAAGAGGTAACTGGAGAGGCAAGGGTGTGGCACTTGTCACAGAGGCATGATCACCTGAGACTGAATTTCAAGTACTCAGATAAAAATAGAATGCATGAACTGGGTGTTGGTGTCACACGCCTTTAATTTCAACATTTGGGAAGCAGAGGTGGGCAGATCTCTGTGAGTTTGAGACCAGCCTACTCTATAGAGTGAATGCCAGGACAGGCTCCAAAGCTACAAAGAGAAACACTGTCTTGAAAAACTAGATAGATAGATAGATAGATAGATAGATAGATAGATAGATAGATAG